GGGTCGCCGTTGCTGTAACCTGGTGGCTGTCGCATCCACAGCTCCTCCGCCAGGTCGCCGTTCAAGAAAGCCGTTTTGACGTCCATCTGATGGACCGTCATACCCCTGGCCGCTGCCACAGCTAGAAGTGCCCGCAGGGAGGCTGCACGCGTGGTGGGCGCAAACAGCTCTCTGTTCGAAGCCCTTCACCACCAAGCGCGACTTATAGCGTATCTCACTGCCAGGCTCCTGTTTGATCTTGTAAACCCAGCGGCAGTCCAAGATGCGAGTGCCAGGCGGCGGCGTGCCCAACTCCCATGTCTTGTTGGAAAGCTGCGGCAGGATCTCGTCATCCATTGAAGTCTTCCACTTGTCAGCTTGCGGACTCACCACCGCTTCCTCATAATTGCACGGCTCCTGCACCGCGCTGTTGCCTCCGCCGTCTGCACTGCACGCACGTTAAACTCAGCACGATGTTAAGCAGCGGTGGACTACCCACCGATAGCCCCTTTGCCTAGGCGTAAACGTGTAAATCTGAGGTACTATTACCAATAAACAACAATGCCTTATAAAGGCTTGGAAAGCTTATCCTGATGGACGAGCTGGCAGTACTCTAGAACCTGCCAGCCGTTGCTCACAGAAGTCTGATGGGCAGTCTTAAACAGGCCACAGCTGTTACTCACGACAACCTGACAAGTTACCTAAACAGGCCACGGGGCGACACGATATCCCTTCGCATCAACAAACAGTACCCAGTAAGCGTCAGGAGCAGGGCGCTCGACAATGCTATGGTGGCCATCGATTTGGGATTGCGCTATTCAAGCGCCAGCAACCAGGAATTATTGTTTGGAAAGACTTGATTTATAAAATGCTGTTGTTGCGAGTAACTGGTAGTATTCTTCGTCAAGTGAAAGTTTGCCATGCTCCCTATTGCGGTAATGTCCAGCCCGCACGTTTTTAACATCTCCTTCAAACATAAAAGGGCGTGTCATTATGCAATTAAAATTAGTACATCGAAACGTTTTTCCCGTATTGAAAGGATTTAGGCGGGTCCAAAGCGCAGCTTTGTAGTTGTGTGTATTGTGTGTGTGTGTGTGCGTGTGTGGGGGGGGGGAGGGTGTTACAGAGGGCTCCAGAATCACCGGGACTCACGAAGCGTAACGCCAGCGGGCCAGTTGGCCGTGCATTATTACTGCACCTCAGACGATCAGGGCAAACAAGACACCCATCCAGACCAGGCAACGCAAGTGTCACCTAGATAGACAGCAGAAAGCGAATCCAAAGGGAAGAATGCTCCGAAACCCACAACCACCGGGGAATTTGCCACTCGGCTCCCCAATTGGCGAAAGTCCTCGGACCTCCACCAGAAGGCCCACCAGCAAATACTGACAGGAACTTGCACGTTGGTTGAGGCCTTAGATGTTGAGAAAAGCTTCTTAAGGGTGTGGCAAATGATATGGCAAACGGACTAACTCGCCTAACGGCCGGTTGACGGTGGAGTTCCATCCCCCTCACCCAGGCTTCTTCACCAGGGTACCGGTCGTGCCCGAAACCCTCTGAATAACCTATCGGGGCCCTCCCCCGAAAATTTCCTTGTCAGGCTGACAGTTTTTTCGGGCACCCCAAAACTGTCTGAAGCCGTTTTCGGGGTAAAGTTTAGCTGGATTCTATCGTAATATGCTAGGACGGCTGAATTAACAGGTGTTTGACTTCATCTTGGAACATGGCGCTAGCTTTTATCCACTTCATATCACGGTTGGATCGAGTAATCCAACACGCATAAGGGAATCAATGGACGGGACAGACAGCCGGTTACGCAGCCTGTTCCTCCCGTTCTTGATAATGCGGTGGACTCTAAAGCCAGGCTCAACACACATCATCAGATGACTCGGGCATGTTTGATTATGGATATGCTTAGACGTATGAAAATGTGTGCGATACAGCCGCAATACACATTCGCACTTGTTGTTTGACTGGTGACCAAGCGGGCCTTATACTGCAAGCCCGGCTTCCAGGCCCCTTCTGCGCCCGAAAACATCCAGATTTACGCTTAAACATCGTTCATTTTCTCCGAAAATGCCTTCGGAAGGCTTCGGTGGGGCCCCTGAAGAAATGCTTCAAAAAGCCCAAGATTCGTTGGGATGTTCCGGGGCGCACTAATTTTCCTTTCGGGCAAAACAGAAAAATTTCAAAAGTGTTCTGGCCCGAATCGGGGTGAAGAACCCTGTCCTCACTTCTGGGTTAACTCGTCCAACGGTCACGCACCACTGTTTTACAATACACCACTAATGCGAATGACATGGCTGCCACTAACAATTTTTGTATAGATATACAGTAAACCGAATCGGTAACCTATCAAATCATGTCACCTGCAAAAATTATTCCAAATGCGGGACATGCGATAATCATTTCAGCAGCAGTCCTGCTTATTGAGCCGTTCACGGATGACCGGCCCTATTTGGCGTTTACTAGGAGGAGGCGATTTCCTTGATGGTGTAGTATTTTGGAAATCTGTTAGCATGGTCTTGAAAGGTATATAATCCTGTAATATTGTTAAAACCAGCAAAGCGCCGGACCCCAGCCGGGTCCTATTCCCTGGTATATGAGTGTCGATCATTTCCAACAAATATTGCAGTGCATTCGGGCCTGCAGGCGGGCCGTATTCTTGCAGTTCTATGACGCGGCCTGTGGTCAAACATGAAGCATCAGAGCATGCCACATGTAGCCATTTTGCATTGGATTTTTGGTCTACATAATCATGGGTAATATAAAATTTATTTGGTACAACGACCAACGTCTTTTTATGAAATGCGGGCCTCGCCTAAATCGGCTTCCCTAAATCGCGCCGTCATTCACATAAGGCCCGACCACCGGCAACCGTTTTTTTTTACAAAACTTCTCCAAAACAGGCTTTTTGTCCTCTTCATTATAGCAACGTGAAGCCCGCGTCTCCGCCGACCAGGCCTAGGGAAAATACTTGAACCGGAGCACCATTTCCGCTTCTCCATGGCCAACACCACGGCGCTGGCAGCCAAGTAAAAGTAATCTGTCCTTACTGATAAATTCGTAGATTGACATAGAATGGAAGACAGGTTAAACCAACGGAAGCGCGGCAGCAAGTGGCATCGCCGGGCATCTCCGGCGTGCGGTGCTCCGGCTCAAATATTTTCGCTCGGCCTGGTCGGCGGAGACGCGAGCTTCATGTTGCCATAATGAAGAGGACAAGAAAGCCTGTTTTGGCGAAGTTTGGTAAAAAAACCGGTTGCCGGTGGTCGGGCCTTATGTGAATGAGGGCGCGATTTAGGCGACGGCTGAAATGCGTTGGGACCGCGGGACATTGCGAGGCTCTGAGCTGAACTTTGATGTGATTTCGGTCGGACTTCTAAGATATTTAAGCAGCCTCTCGCACAAATGTGTCCGGTCGTACTTCGCGAATAGAGACTCCGTACATCTCGTCCCAAAAGTCAGGAGCGAATTTTGCCGCGCAGATGCGCGCGTGCGATTCGCAAAATGCGCCTGTACAAATGTATATAAGATTTCTTGGCGGATGAGGACCAGGTGCGCCAGCGTGTTGCGCAGGTGAGCATGTTGGCCATAGCCGCACGCTGGACTATTGCGTGGATGCTTTGCAGTAAATAAAAGCACCGAAAGCCAACGTCGTAGCTTGCAACTCTGGGCTCGTGAAACTGCCGCGGAAGATGAAGCGCTGGCGGAAGATGAAGCGCTGGCGAAGAAGCAGTTGTGTGCAAGCCATAAGGCGCCTGCTTTCGGTAGCGCAGCGCATAATTCTCATTGTTCCGAATACTCAAGTTACACTCTTACGAAATAAATAAACAAGCACAGAATTATGTAAAGATAAGAATCGCGAGAGACGTTCAGAACCTTGCAAGTGAAATGGATGCCGCTGAGAGCTTGGAACAGCTTTTCGCAGCGCATTCGGCCGTGCCTGCGTTAGCCGTCTTGCAGCAACTACGAATGGAATTGAGCCAGCAGCAAGCTCGAAGGCTGCTGAATAACCACCGGGAATATCTTCAGATGGGAACATGTAGTTTTGGTCGGCGCGGTCAAGCAGCGTACACATTGCGCTCAGGTACCGAGGTGCAGCGTCTCTTTGACATCGCCAACATATCTGGTACGCTGTGGCCGGCTTGCCGACCGTGACATGAACGGGCGCTTGCATCACATCAACATCCTGCACTGCATCCTACGCTCGCTGTTGCCGCGGTTGCTGGCTGGATGCGGGATGCACGGATGTCGCCTCACTGGCAGAATTTGGACTGTTCGCCTTTGCCAGCCAGCGCACTGCCGGATTGCGCTTTGCATTCTTTCGCATGCACCGAACCTACATGCCGTGCATCATTGCGAACTGCCTGGTTCTGCTCTGGAACGCCGTGTGCCCAGACCGTGCTGGCCAGCCGGGGCTCTTCCTTCGGCCGCGAGTAACTCTCGCGCTTCCTAAATAGTCCCGTTGCACAACAATTCAACACGTCCTTACATTTGCACAACGCCGTCAGCACCATGTCCCCAGTCCGGACGGCTCACCACCTAACGCAATTTATTTCATTTCATGCATTACACACCAATCCTGTCCGAACTCGTGCTCCCAACGATATGCACGCCGACGACTTTCACGTCGCTCCTGTTCTGCAACGGTTTTTTGCTCTGCTCGGAGCAACACAACGCGCCGCTTTCACATTTGGGCATGACCACACGCCATGTCCATGGCGCTTCATTCATTTCCGCATACAACTTGTCCCAGCACCCCACCCGTTGGCGCGACCGCCATCACCCATGCTCACCATGTGAAGACGAACAGACATAGCTTCGACGCCCCTCAGATTCAGCCCGCCTCTTTGACGCATCCCGTTTGTACGATGCTGCAACTTGTATAAATGCCAGCCTGTGTCGCCTTCTTTTTCACACATTCTTCTGCTTCCTTTTTTTGGCTAAAAGACCAAAGTCCCTTTTGCAGACGGTAACCAGCCAGCCTGTCACTTCGCGGACACTTCTTCTACAGTTGCAAACTCGCACAAGATGGCTCCGAAAATGGCACGCCAGTCACAAGTAACACCGCAGACCCTTGCACCCCTCAACTTGAGCGCTTATGGCACGCCTTCGACAAGCCAGCCGTCCACCTCTTCCACCGGCGCCGAAGCCAAGCCGCCAGTCGACATAGCCGACCTGTGGGCGCAGCTGGCGGCAGTGTCCCCAACCGGCGGAGGCCGTGATCGTTCCTCGCCGGCCGGGGTGCCCAAACGGCCCCTCACCTTCAAGTAAGCGCCTCATCTTCCGGTACTAGTAGGTGCCTTGCCACGCCGGACCCTACCAAACAGAACACATGCCGTCCCTGCTGTGTGTGCATGCTTTCTCTGGCTGTCCCATGCAACTACCATCTTGAAACGCCCTGCTGCTGCCCCTCGAACCGTCAGGCAGCAACTGCTCTTGGGTAGCATGGGATGTCACGACGAAGACATCCTGCGCGCCCGCCATACCAACGCACAGTTCAACGTGCTAACGGCCGTAAGTACAAGGACGAGTTCACGGTGCAGCACGGCGGCAAGCCTGCCAGCAGTAAGACGTCCTACCTTGCTGCCCTTTGCTCGCTTGCGCCAGCTGCCGTACCTGTCACAACCCGCCATCCCGCCAACTAACCATCCAACCTCCCGCCCTCCATGCCCGTGTAGCGTTCTTGTACAATATAACGGCCGAAATTAAACGCTGGCCACGCATGCCAAGGTCATGCAGCTTTGGATCACAGCTGCCGGCAGCCTGCGTGCGGAAACAGCAATAGAGCTCATCTACGATTACGGCATGGACGCCGCCACCGTCCTAAATGCAGACCAAGGCTTTGCACGCACGGTGCAGGAAGCTGCACAGAAGGCGCGAGCGTCAGGAGCCCACCTGGCCACCACCATGCCAGTCAAGCGACCTGCAACCAGCCCAGCCGAGCCACATGCCAGTGCCCCCGCTCGCACGTGACTATATACCATCACGTGCGCACCGACCGGCAGGGTATATGTCGGACAGTCCCGGGACCCTGAACGCCACTTCCAAGCTCATGCCCGTAACCCACCCAGCCGCTTCCAACCCTTTCGAAATCACTTCAACCTCACGCGCCTCATGTCCACCGCCAATCCTGCTCTGGCCCACAAGATGGAAGCCTTCTACATCGCACAGTTCAAGGCACGGGGGCCGGGCATTGAGCGGTGCTGTTGAATTTAGGCACGGGTTTCATTCTCGGTGCATACATGTCCAACTTTAACTTGTGTGTGAACGGCTTGGGATGGTCTATTGCGTTAGCGTTCGGACTTAAAAGACACCCCGCTGCGCTCCTTGCTGCGCTCCTTGCTAGCGGAAGGAAGTTGGTAGGGGGAAAGTTGGTAGTGTGCGAGTTCATCATCATGTTGCCTGTTCTGGCATGGCCATCTACACGCGAACCGAGGCCTTATTCTTCGTTCCTACATCATAGCAAATGACCGACGCGACATGTCCTGTGCACGCGCTGTTCCTGTGCACATGTTCTTGTTCTTCTGGATGTGCTACCTGGTTTTGTTGAATACACGCGCGCAATGACATGACTGAATGTACATTGCGCCGTGCGCTAAACGAACTGTAAACACCTTCCACTAAACTGCTTCGAAGCTATTCTCACATTCCATTCTGCCACTGCACTGCTTTAATCTCCAGCCTGGGCACAATCTATTCCGCGCAAACGTAAATATACATCTTACATTACAAAATCATACAGGCCTTGGAAACACGGCCAGCTGCTTCACAAGGACCCCCCTCTTTGTCTATTGCTTTTATGGTTCGTCGTCGTGATAAGTCTTGTACTGCATCTGGTCTGATTGCTAGTAGGCCTTATCGCACGAACCTAGTCACCTAGTGCTATTTGTTCTCTGAAGCGGAAATTCTGTTATCAGTCTACTGTAACAATTATTGCTCTTTTGGACCTTTGGAGTGTCCTTTTGAGGTTGAGGATAGTGTCAGCTCGCTTGTCCAGCTTGTGCTTAATTGGACCGTTTATTAGCTGTTTCAAGGGTATTTACAACAGGTTATAAGCCCCGCTTGACCTTGCCGTGGCTGCAGTGGCTGCGCTTTGCTGGCTTGCACGCTTTGATCTTGAGTTTGATTCCTACGTGATTTTTGGGGGAAATGTCTATCTCCGACATTGCTGATTGGGGGGAAGTGTTGAAGATCGCCAACTCGGCGGATTGGTTTATGAAAATGAAGGCCATCTTGGAGTGCGAAGATATGTCATCGGTCATCGCTCAAGATTACCGATTACCTGCAGATCCTACAGAGCGGGAGAAGGAGTTGAAGAAGATCAGGAAGGCGCGGGCGCTCATCATCCTGCGTCTTACGGCAGTTGACCACAAGACAATCATCGACTCCACAACAGAAGCTAAGGATCTTTGGGCGGGTCTTGAGGAGTGGGCTGCGCAGCTAAATGAGGCCGAACTGAATGCGGTAGCCCTGTCGTTTCAGTCGTTAGTAATGAGGAAGGATGAACAAGTGAGCGATTACATGACTCGTGCTGTGAACCTGTACGAGAAGTTAAATAGGTACAAAGATTATCGCGTTTCTGAGAAGTACGCGATTGTGCAGATCGTTCGTGGCTTGCCCGACATCTTGTACGAAACTAAGAAGCGAGTGTTTGTCACGCCCGTGTATCCGAAGGACTTTAAGGAGCTCAAGGAGAAGCTGTTGGCTATGGAGGCCAACCGTTTGACTGCCAGGAGGACCGAGCCCGACATCGCGACGGAATTGTACACCGGACGCGGTGGCCAGAAGGTTGGCTGCTTCATCTGCGGCGCCAACCACTTCGCTCGGGACTGCCCGAAGAATGGCAGCGCTTCTGCGCTATCGGGCTTGGGTCGCTCGTACGGTGGTTCTAATTTGCGATGCAAGTGGTGTGGGAAGACCGGACATGTAGTGGATAGGTGCTTCCGGAAGAAGCAGGAACTGCCTAAGAATATTGACGCAGGGGTTGTCGCGCTCACCCTGGTCGCACGAGAGAAGCAGTTTGTCTTGTAACCGTTGTGCGAAGAAAGGCAATTAGATCATTATGCGCAACCTCCCCCCAAGAGCCCATGGGCCGAGCGCATTTCATCGATCAGCTGCAGAGGATTGTTGGTCAATACCCCGTGAACCCGTGGTGGCTGGATTCCGGTAGTAAATACCATAACACGGGGGACCGGAGCGTTCTGCTTAACTATCGTCGGCTCTATCCTGGCGTGTCCATTTCGATCAAAGTGGGCAATGGAAAAGTGCTACGAGCAGAAGTCCATGGGGATGTGGTGACGACCCTTGCGCCTATTATTACGATGAGGGTGTTTTCTTCGTGCCACATTGTATACATAATTTGATCTCTGCTCCGTACTCGTCAGGGCTTCAGAGTTAGTTTTTGAGGACACGCAGACGCTTGTGTCGAGAGAAGCTGTGCACATCACGGTCACCAAGTGTGCATCTGGTCTCCCTAGGTTGATGAGCAGTGCTGTCCCTGCTGTTGAGTCCTCCGAGCCTGCTGAGCCTGTTGTCCCTTAGCTTTCTGCCAAGGTTCCTGATACTGAGATGGCTGAATTGTGGCACCGTCGGCTTGGTCATTTGGGAATCATGGATATGAAAAGGTTGGCGCATGAAGGCATGGTTAAGGGCTTGAATATTAGTGCTGTCCAGTTGCGAGATTTTGAGAGTAGGGCATGTGAGCCTTGTTTGACGGGCAAGTATGGCCGTGGTCCGTTTCCCACGCCTGAAGCAGTAACAAAGAGACCGTGACAGTGTTTAGATGTCTGTGCGCCCTGTGAGCCTGTTTCTACTAGTGGACATAGGTACTTTGTCACATTGCTAGATGATTACACTAGGGGGATTCATTAGTACAGTCCATGAAACCCTAAAACCCTACAGTCCATTAAACCCTAAAACCCTACAGTCCATTAAACCCTAAAACCCTACAGTCCATTAATAAACCGGATGTCCCGGATTTTATTGAGAGGGCTGTTAACTTGCTACAGGCCCTAAGTAGCTCCATTTTGCAGTGCACGAGAACGGATGGCGGTGGCGAATCTTTGAACGCGCGAGTAAAGTGGCCGGGCACATCTAGTTGTGAAGACGTTTTCAGGAGATGGATGGAATTCGAAGATGGAGAAACGCGTGTGTGTCCACTGTGGGAAAACCTGTCGGCCGCAGTGTATGCGCATGCCATGGGGGACAGGACAGTGATATTTGTTCGTTTTGCATGTTGCTCCACGAGTTAGCATTCAGGTTGAAGCCTGTTGCCCTTTCCGTTTTGTCATGGCATGTTTTGCAGGCGCTCTCCTGCACAGTAGATGCAACGGACCAGAAAACGTTCCGTACAAATGTTGTTCTTTTAGCTTTGCTGTGTTACACAGTGTTAAGATCTTAGTTGGGGTGCTGTCACCGCAGATGTACGGTGCTGGGTTTCTGTTGAGCCTTTGCAACCAGCAGTAAGGACATACATGTATGATGATGAGCGTAAGCACGTCCCAACATGTTGTGTGGCAGGTGTCATGGGTCTAAGGAGCAGGTTGAATGTGAGGGGCCTTACTCGCACACACACACACACACGTGCGAATAGCGTTGGTCGGGTCACAAAGCGAAATTGCAGTGCCTTTGTAACTTCATAACTTGTTCATGCTCGCGGTCCACAAAGTTCAGCTCAGAGCCTCGCAACTTCCCGCGGTCCCAACGCATTTCCGTAAAAGACGTTGGTCGTTGCACCAAATAATTTTAATAATACCCAAGATTATGTAAACCACAAATAAAACGAAATGGTTACATGTGACATGTTCTTGTGCTTCATGTTTTGACCATAGGGCGCGTCATAGAACTGCAAGAACACTGCCCGCCTGTAGGCCCGAATGCACTGCAACATTACAGAAATAGAAACCTTTCAAAACCATGCTTACAAATCTCCAAAATACTACACCATCAAGGAAATCGCTGCCTTCTAGTAAAAGGAAAATTAGGGCCGGTCACCCGTGAACAGTACCTCAAGTTAAAAACCAGAGCTGTAAGTTTTTTGTAAGTTAAAATAATTACAGTTTGAATGTTTACCTTTACTGGTTTTCGCAAGGAAAGCTGTGACGATGGTGATGATGAAGTCTTCTACATCTAAGATGTAGATGTAGATGATGAGGATTTACAAGCTTCAGCGAGATCATACGGTTCAGACGAACTTGAGCTTCATGAACCGCCTCGATCTGGCAAAGAAGAACGAGAAAATGAAAGCTGCGCGCTCATGCCGACCTGTGTACGGCGCGCCATCCACGCACCCGTCTTTTTATGACGTACAGGTACTCGAGCAGAACTCTACGCCATATATACGCCACCACCAGCTTCTAACCAATAAGGTTGCCGAGCGCGAGGGACTTGTGGTATTGTATATACGCCGTTGCTTTAGGCGTACTTAGACAGCATCAGAAAGGATGCGTCCTTGTGTGGGAGGCAAACGCTCCGACGGCACTTATTTTTATGTTTTTGCTTCATCGCTCATTTTTCATGTCCTATTGGCAGGTGGGTTACTGTCCGGGACGGGAACGACACTATCGGAGGATTGCACTTCAAGCTTAACGGGGCAAAGTATTGTCACTTCTTCATGCAGTACGTTTTTTTATGCATATTTGGATTATTTTATTATTTTACGGCATACATCATTAACACATCATTTCGGAAGTTCACTCATGCAGGTCTAGGCAGTTATGATTTCCCATCAGATTGTATCTTATATGCCATGCATGCTTCATCATCCGGCGATGTATTCTTTCCCGCAGTTTCGGCCGCGTCGGCAGCAGCCCTTCAGAACCCCGGTGCCGATGGCGCGTCTGTAGCGTCCCGCGCAATCGCCGATCGCCGAGGATTGTTCCTATACTTTCGCCCGCCACCGCCGGCCGGCCACCCTCCGACACCACCCAGCCCCTCACCTCGTCCACCACGCCCGCCTCCATCGCCCAGCCCCTTGCCCCCGGCACCCAGGCTGCCGCTACCACCCAGCCCGTCGCCATCGCCTCCCCGCCCACCGCCATCACCCAGCCCTTCTCCCCCTTTCCCTCGCCCACCGCCATCACCCAGCCCTTCTCCCCCTTTCCCTCGCCCACCGCCATCACCCAGCCCTCCTCCCCCTTTCCCCCGCCCACCGCCATCACCCAGCCCTCCTCCCCCTTTCCCCCGCCCACCGCCATCACCCAGCCCTCCTCCCCCTTTCCCCCGCCCACCGCCATCACCCAGCCCTCCTCCCCCTTTCCCCCGCCCACCGCCATCACCCAGCCCTCCTCCCCCTTTCCCCCGCCCACCGCCATCGCCCCGTCCCGCTCCACCGCCCCCACAGCCTCCACCGTCACCCCCAAAGCCGCCTTCACCGCCCCCACCGCCGCCAACCTTCAGCTTTAGCGTCACCGTCGAGTTTACTTCCATCTTCCCCTGGCTAGGCAAGCCTGACCGCCAGTTCGGTCGCGACGTCAACTGCACTGAGCTAGCGGACCTCATTTCCACGGATCTCACTACCGCAGCCACACAAGCCCAGACCAGCTTCCTGATCCCGCTTCAGGTCAACACATGCAACAACAGTCGCTTTGTCATGAGCGGTGCAATTGCCCGAGATTGGTCTGCTTGCTTGGAACTGGATACCCTAATCAATGACCGCATGGTGCGCGGCTGGACAGCACTTGCACTGCGCGACAACCTAAACTGTACGGCAGATGAGGCCGATTTGTTTCTTGTGGCCAAGGTGACAGTGACCGCAACGGCGTCTGTACTACTAATACCGGTTTCTTGCGTCTACCAGAGCTTCATAGACACCGCGTGCGACTCTGGATTCAGCACCCATGCATCTACTCGCTAAAAGCCCGCCGTCCACCACCTCATCCTAGGAGATAAATCTGCAGCAATTTCAAGGGGTTCCGATGCTCCGACTTCGTGCGAGGTGGTTTAAGAGGCCAAGAGGCCTCCTATGCAAGTCACGCACCACTATGCTGCAGAAGAACACGCATGCGAAGAGATGAATACAGACATCCTTGTCGCAGCCGGACCAGTTGCTTTGGTGAAGATTGTATTCAGGGACGTCGTACTACCGTCGCCCTCACGCAGCCGTTTCTGCCCGCGGCTCAGATCATGAAAACAAAGTCAGCAAAGGTCATAGGTTGTCGCGACAGCAGACGCTGTTTCATTTCACTCTGGCATCACTCTCTGTGTCGTCACACCTTTCTAGGTAATATGACAACATGACCGCTTCACTGCTCGTCGACATCGGTAGAGTGCACTTGTGTGTGTGGATCATCCGCGGCACTTCTTCCTCACGGATCGGGCCCCCCCATTTCATGAAGAGGTCGAGGTGTAACATAACTACTTTTTGTGTCTGTAGTACCTACTTTTTGTGTCTGTAGTAGCTGGCCGCCGAAAAGGCCGCTCTAGATGCTGGAAGCACGCTGTAGCTGTATTTATGTATGTTGTTACAGGGTGGTTAACTTCGCCAGCGGCCCCCTTTCCCGGGGCAGTCCCTGCTCTCCCCTGCTAGAGGGGCACCCTAATCCGTCACCCCATCCGACTTCAGAATGTATTCGTTGGGTTCGGCAACTCACCACCAGCATCCAACCAAATCTAGCGGATCAACGGCGCATCAACTTAGTTCCTGGTCAGCTCGCAAGTTGATATTATCACGTCCTACACCGTCCATAAGATGGGGGGCCACCTCCCATTTCATCACTCCTCAAACACCCGAGGAGCCGGCAGGCGGATTTGAACCCGGGTCGACTGGGTCGACTGGGAGCAGAAGTCAGGCCTTAACCTCTGCCAGCCGCCTGCCTGTAAAGACAATAATGATACGGGCAGGATTTGAACCTGCGCCCTTGCGGATAGGAGCCTTAATCCTACGCCTTAGACCACTCGGCCACCGTACCCTGACGTATTTATGTATTGATGCTGTGTGCCGTAATGTGCGACAGCTCTAAACAAAATGTCGATGTGTTAGAAGAGAGCGTCATGTACACGTATGTATGTACATCTCAAACATGGCATGCGGCAGGTATGTGGCACTCATTCATGGACGAATGGCTCGGGGATGAGTCCATGTGGTGTCATGTGAATGGGTTCTGCCAAACCAAATGCAACTCATGATTGGCCGGGGTGTTCTATAATTCGCGCGCAGCTGCCATACCCCAGCAACTTCATCACGAATAACCCGGAGTACTTGCATAGCTTTAATGTAGCAGTTTCAGTTTGCGGTTTGGTTTTATCCTATGTGCCGCCCGGTGGTATTTGCAAGGGCTCCATGTCAAGAGCAGTGACTAACTAGGCTAGCTAGTAGTGCGCTGTATTGGTGACGGAGTATGTATGTATGTATGTATGTATGTACGTATGTAGATCGACGACACTGCTGCAGACGGGCGCATTCTAATGACGCCCTTGGGCTCGCTGTGTGTGGTGGGGCTCCTGACTTGAGGTTGCGAAGTGTACGGCATAGGTTGCTTAATAAGCTTACTGACGGGGAGACGAACGACTGCGGCTCTGCAGGACCGGATTCGGGGACGTTGGCGATATGTAAAACTGTAAAAGGTACGGATGCCGATTCATTGCTGGCGTGGAGGTATGCCGATGCAGAGCTTTCGCCGTGTCGAAAGCTGCTCTCTCTCCTCCTCTCTCATTTCGGCGGTTGGAGACAGGAAGCATCTGTAGTGACTCACCTACAGCGTTGAAGTTAATTGCCGCATTAGATGTATGTAGCGGATGCCATCATGAAAATGGATAGTGTTTTTGAAAGAATATCCGAGCCGATGACAAATCGCCGAAATGCTACCCGCACCCAAACACTGCACACACAGCACGGTATACATGTACACATAGCGGCGGAGAGTACCAAGTCCAACCCCATAATGCCTAGCGGCAGCAAGCAGCCAGAGGCGCTACCCTGCCTGGCACAGACAACAGGAGGTTCAAAGCACGACCCACAATGCGCTTCTTAGGCTAAAGGCCACAGATGGAACATGCCGTATCCAGGCAGTCACGTACGGCAAAACCCTGATCAGCCACCCCGACCCACCATCAACACGACCCCGACCCAACGACCGACTCTCATTTCAAAAAACGGGCAGGGCATGCCGTGCAGGGCCCGTAAATTATGAATGAGCAGTCCAGCAGAAAAAGGAAATATCCAAACGGATGCCATGTTTTCACCGCTGTCGTATGAAAACATGGCATCAAAGCCGCAAAGCCTACCGTTGCATGCACGGTAGCCGGTGCAGTACGGAAGTACGGCAAGAAGGAACTCTTAGGCCTGATTGGGCAATCCTGTCCTACCAGCACTTCGCGACGGCGGCTTCCCATAAAACGTGTGTGCACGGGCGTCCGTGCACGTTTACATTACTTCCTCGCGGGTGGATATGCGCATGGGCAGCTGAGCCATGGGTGTCTATCCCCCCTGCTGCCGTGTGGTCTGGCCGGTCTGTGCCGCGTGCAAGGATACGCACGTTTTCCGCCCGGCTTCTGCTCTTTGCGTATGGACCTATTCATGCAATCAAGTCACCCAGACGAAGCCGGCATGAGTATCATCGGTACGACGTTATATCTATGAGGGCATCCTTTTTGTGCATGTGGTGTGCAATTATAATCGAAGTACGAACATGTGCTCCGGCCCCTCTGAATCGTGCAAAATTTCATACCGTACAGTGTACGACCGTTCGTACGTTTGAGAATTCGAACCTTTGTATTACGGGCCCTGCAACTTGCCAACTACCCAGCCCGTGGCAGCGTGTGATGAAGTAACCCGCTTCGGTTTCTTAGCCTGCGAGGCTTTAAGTGTGCTAATGATAATGATGATAACGGAGCGCGGCGTTTCCATTTTCGGATCGTGCTCATTTGAATGCTGTACAGAGTACGGCACTGCTTGACCATTTACTTGTCAGTGCGGTCGCTTCATTCACAGGCATTCACGGTCATGCAAGTCCAGGTTCACCCTACAGAAAATGCATCAGGCGCGTCAGCAACCTCAGCAACGTCGGCGGTGAGCTTTCAGTTTCCTCAAAAGCGGCCGCCGCCGCCTCCAATGCCACTGCCTTTCCAAGTAACGTCGCCACCGCCATCGAGGTCAACATCTTCCAGTTTGTCGTACAGCGCATCGGTAGTCGGGCCAGGGCCGCCGCCAGTTCCGTCACTGCCGCCACGGCCAATGCCGGCACCGCCGCCGCTCCATAAGACTTGTCCAGCTGACGCTGCCATCGTGCGTGATCCCGTCTGCATGGACGCCAGTCGCCTCCGCCATCGGTACAGCAGTTGACAGCACCATCCGCCGCCTTTGCCGCCGCCGCCGCCGCCGCCGCCGCCAGCGTCGCCGCTGCCGCCGCTGCTGCCGCCGCCCAACTGCTTCATCAGGCACCCGCTGACGGCGTCGTGAGTGCCGACTACTGCTACTGCCGCCAGTCCCATCAGGAAGCCCGTACCGGTGTCATCCAGTCCCAAAATGGCTACTGCTGTGATGAGGGCGAAGCTGTAGCCTCGGGGTGTCCTATGGGGGGACAATGGTGATGAGGGAATGTCCCGAGGGTCGGGATTTCACGGAAAGCAAGACCTGACGTTGTGTCCAGAAAGTAGGGCAGGGGATGCCGGGCGTGTAGTTTAGTAACAAGAAGAAGAGATTTTCCGTTGCCAATGAAGGCTCACACTGAAGTGTCCCAGCTGTAGTTGACCGCAGCCGGGAAGGCTTCAGGAGTTTTCAAACCTCCTACTCTGTAAGTTGCAGAGTCCCGGGCTGAATGCGTGCCCCGGCTTTCCGCATTCCATTGTCGCAATGTGTATGTGTTTCTGTTACATGGTTGGGGGTGCGGTACCCCATGCCTGAGAAAATACCTACACGAGCCGAAGGCCCAAGGGCAATACCTAAACGCCTAATAGTTATGGAGAAAAGGAACAGCGCACATGTCGAAATGTATCATGAGGCAGGAAGTCCATGAGAACGTGCAATCAAGTCATTACATTTGCGTAATAATGCAAGTGGTGTATGCTGTCAGGTGAGACTTAAATCGGGAGGGAGGACCCGGCATCTTTAGTCACACCGTGTCTTGTTTTGTCTAATGTGGTCTGACTTGGAGACGTTAATGCAATTTGCGGTGTAAACCTACCTAGGTTCGATTCCAAGAGCGCGAATTGTTTTTCTTATTATGTTAGCTGCCGAGATGTGGAGTCCAGCTTCGCACACTAGATTGCTGGCGGTCGCTGAACCCTCTGTCTCTTCAGATGTTCGGGCGGCATGATGAGAAGGGATTCCAAAAGACTGAATCATACGCCTTCGGCTTGCAGTTCGTATGGCGTGTGGTAGTTGGTACAGTGTGGTAATGGTGCTTTTATGGTGTTCAATCCTAGATACGACAATCCAAATGTGTTTCAATTGGCCCACAACCCGCCCACTCTGTAACAACAACAACAACAACAACAACAACAACAACAACATCGTGTAGGATTTTACCGTCGTACACTGTCGTACCTCATGTGCCGTAACACCGATGCCAGCTCCACGCCGGATACCAGCAGCAGCGCGCCAAGCAGTGGCTGAGGAAATGCCGCCAGCAGCGCCGCAAGACTTCCGCCGAAAGCAAGTCCCAGCGCTGCCTTGAGGCAACCGAGCAGCACTGGCGCTGAGCCGCTGCGTGCGCCGAACTTGTACTGCGGTGACAGCAAGCATGACGATATTATGCACATTTTGTCAGTTTTTGTCAGTTTGTTGTTGTTGTTGTTATTATTACAGCGGGCTGCCAAGTTTCTATACCGTATGGCAGCAAAGAAACCTAGAGAGGCCAAAGGGCACGTCGCCTGTCGCTGTAATGTAAGACACACATAGCCTGGAAAGGAGGAAGGAGTGGTCCGTACCGGCACCGGCACCGGCACACACAACAAGCTCGGCCACGACTAATATAACCGGGCTAGCACTGCTGGTGCCGACAGGGGGTAACTTGCCACTACTGCGGCTCCCCTACGAGCCGTATGAGACAAACGCATGCCTACAAGTACGGGCCGGCGTACTGTGTTGCCTCTATGTGAACAAGTACTAGTGCGGCCAAATACACACGGAACCGCCATCCTACCAAGCTGTGTCTGAACAATCACTCGAGAGGTGTGGAATTACCGATCCCCTTCGTCTGTGAGCGGATCCATGCAAAGCAAATTGTCCTCTACTACCTGTAAAAAAGAAGTGGTAAGGTCCAACTGTGTTTCAACCACGCCTAGGTAGGCCTTATGCAGTAAAAGAACGTAACCGCATCTAAACGTGATTGGGGCCTGATGTGTGATTTACTGTCGGTGTGTCGAGTTTCCGCGAACAGACTTTCGTACTACAGCTCTGTAGCGGGAAAGGTTTGATCGGAGCCACTGCATTGAAGCATATGAAGTCTTGAAGCTTATGTTACGTCATACATATACCATTCCTCCGTTCCTCTTGGCAGTCTTTTTTTCCTTTCTTTTCATTCCTTCCGTCCGTCAGCAAGGAGTATACACAGACAGCCGACGAGCTACCCTAGATAGACCTAATTATAACTCATTTTGGAATTGGTTTGTGGCTTGGATTACCTTCATGGCCTTGGTGTGCATTAGTAAAGACGCGCTCAAACAGTAGTTTGCTAACGGAGTTGTAAGTAAACACGCAATAGTTGTCCAGGTTATATATGAGAACCTTTAGGATTATAGTTCTGGCAGAGGCGCAGCAGGTGGGACGGTCGATATTGGCAATACGAATTTCGGCAACTATTCTCCTAGGCGTCCGCACAACCCCAATATCAGCAATAAAGCCCACGATATACATATACCAGACTTGCGAAGCGGCAATCAATCTTTGCCACTCGCGGAAGTTGAAATCCGATATCGACTTCCGCGAGTTCGTTGAAATAACGATTCGTTGAAATAACTCCTATCCACTTTCAACATTCGATACCCTGCAAGACCGATACAAGCGCCAATCATTATGGCTGGTTGCAAAGCAAATTGCGGGTGCGAGGCGAAGTGCACTCTTGCGTACGGCTTGCAAGTTGCAAGGTCGCAAGTTGCAAGTCGCAAGGAAACCGCAAAACCTCGCCATCTTTATACGCGAATACAACGTGGGAAGCCTCCTCCCCCCAACACATACACACAGGCACCCCCCCTCTCTCACCCCTACCTGCGCTGCAAGCCCCCCAGCCCCATGACAGCACGGCATCGCGCCCAGCCAGCAGCCGCACAGGTTCATGAGGGCCACGGACAGCGCCACGGCGGTGGGGGACCAGCGGGAAGAGTCCCTTCTGGGAATGGGGGACGGATTCGAGGGGTGCGGTAAAGGGGGAAAAGTGTTTCGGGTAACCATTGAGACAACTAAACAATAACGAAATCCCGGATGGCGCGAAGGTGGCTACATGGCGGTGGCAGGAAGGGGGGAAGGTGGGTTAACTACTCCATGTGCCGTTGGACGGGGGCAGCGTTAGCAGCAGCAGCAGCAGCTGGTTCTCTTTTTCTTACGTTCATTTAACTCCCCCTCTCTTTCCCCCGACACACACAACCATATACAACCCCTTGGTTCTCGCATACTTCTCCCTCCATGCATAAATCCCCTTCTCCCCTCTTTCCCCCCCAACACACACACACATACACACACGTACATTCGCTTTTCGTACATATTTGTTCTCTCCAGAAACTCACCGTCTCCCCAAATCTCACCTAGTTAGCTACTTAGCTAGTTAGCCGGCTAGTGCCCGCCTACCTGTCCGGGAACAAGCTGTTGGCAAGTTGGACGACCGCGATGACGGAGTTCAGGGTGGTCAGGGGCAGCTGGGGTAGTCCCGCCCGTACAGCGCCCTGTCGTACATCGCTCCAGTTGGGTTGAAGCAGGCGGGGGGTGCTGGGACCCAACTGCGAAAAAGGGGGGAGGGGAGCTGCATGGCTGTTGACGTGCTAGCGTGTGTGCATATACATCTGTATGTATGTGTGTAAACACATAAACAAAACACACATTCACACACACATACATACGCACACAGATACATACATACACACACACCTTGAGTTCTGCCAGCAGCCGGGGGCGAGAGACGACCGCCATCAGCAGCCCCGCAACCACCGTCACCAGCGCTGAAGGAAATCCCCGCCGCCCGCCACCGCCACAGCTGCTGCTGCTGCCGCCGCCGCCGCCGCCGCTGGCACTGCATCCGCCTTGCTGCCTGCAAGGGTAGCTGCTGCCGCCAGCGGCATCGGCGTCGTACGATGGTGACATCGCCACCGCCGCCGCCAGCTCCGGATCTTCGGCGCCGCGGCGGGTATTGCCGTCGCTGTCAACGAAGCCGCTACCGAAATTACTTGTTGCAATCAGCCAGTTCGTTTCCGTTACACCGCCGCCGCCGCCGCCACCGTCACCGTCACCGCCACCGATCCCGCCGCTCGTGCCATTTGCTGGTTGAGGTGGTGCTGGTGATGATGATGATGAGGATGAAGCCGGTGTCGTACGACGCCACGTCATTAAGCGTTGAAGCAGGGGACCGAAAGGTGTATCGGCAGGTGGAGGTCCCAGAGACCCCTCTTCAGCTGCATCGGGAGAATCAGGACGAGAAACTGCAGCAGCAGCAGTAGCAGCAGCAGTAGCAGTAGCAGTTGCCGAAGCAGTAGCAATAGCAGCAGTAGCAGCAAAAACAGCAGTAGCAGTTGCAGAAACGGTTGCAGTAGCAGTAGCAGTAGCAGAAGCAGCAACAGAAGCAGTAGCAGTAACAGCAGCAGTACAGTATCTCACGTCCTCCGGCATATTGCGTTTCCACCCTCCGTCTTTCTCAGCGTGCAGACGTAGTTCCTAAAAACCCCTTTAAAACACACGAACATCCACATCCACATCCACATACACGCACGTCTCCCTGCATCTCTCCCGCTCCAGGTTTGCCTCTTCCCCCTCACCTCCGCTTTCCCGCGCCTTAAGAGTTGCTGTCTCCCGCACCCCACAGCCCCCCTCCAGCTCCATTACATACGTACAGACAGACAAACACTCCTCTTCCCACCCACCCACCTCTAGGCGCCATGGTGGTTACCAGCAGGAACCCCAGCGCCATCGCCGCCACCAGAAATCCCTCGCTGCCCATCACAGGCCGCCACACCGCTACCGAAGGAGGCGGCGCCGCCAACGTTGGTGAAGATGATAACGGTGGCCACGGTGGCAGGAGGGAGGAAGAGGAGGAGGAGGGGGAGGGAAAGGGAGAGAAGGCTGGAGCTGGTCCATCCGGTGGCCCGTGGGTCGGTAGCCGCTGCCTGAAAGCCATGTCGAGACCCTGCAAGATGTGCAAATAGCTATCTGAATGAGGGGATGTGGGGATGTGGGTTTCGGGGCTTAGGAGAAGAGGAGAGGGAGGGATGAGGTATAAACCCGCCATGCGCCACTGTATTTACCTCTTTCCTGTTTTCCCCCTCCTCACCCCCCCGGGGGTCCCTTCCTCCCCCGGGGGTCCGTCCTGGGCCGCAAAGCCTCAGCCCCCCAAAATAACGATAGAGACATACTGACACACACACACACACGCGCGCACCTTCATCGCCAGCTTGGCCCCCACGGCGAGCTGCACACCCCGTACGACAGGTGGCGGTACGAGCCAATTGAACACGTCGATCAATCGCGTAAGGCCCAGCACCAGCACGCAGCCCGACACGAAGACACCCGCAAGCAGTAGCTGCGGCAGTGTGAGAGGGGGCTGTCCCCGCGGACGGCCGGAAAACACACAAAAGGACCATTACCACTGAAACTTTACCAATCACTACTTCCGCCCATCACCACCACCACCACCGCCGTCACCTTCCGCCCATCACCGTCACCCTCACCGTCACTGACACATTCCCAAGCTTACTCTCGCACCCCCCTCTTCCCCGACCTCCCGACCGCGTTGCTTCCCGAGCTACCCCGTGCTCCCTGTCAGCCAATTCCACATCCCGCTACATCAGCTGCATCCGCTACAGCCCAGGTGGCCCAGCTACAGCCAGCCAAGTTGCGGTTTGGTGTCACGCCCACCCGGCTCAAGGCCCTTCAAGGCCCCGTTCCCACATGGAGCCGGAGACCCTGCATTCCCCCACCCCGCATGGGGCCCCACCCAGCGCCAAATTCCCCCGCCCCCCCCCCACAAGCCACACATACGCCCTCACCTCACCTCTGAGGCCGCCAGGGCCACTGCCGCGATGGTCTTCATGGGTTGCACGCACATGGGAATACCGAACTGCACCCCACTGACGATGTTGTACATACCTGGCACAAATGAAATGATGCAGGAGTAGCGGCAGCAGCAGTTGCGGCAGCAGTAGCAGAAGTAGCAACGGCAGTAGCAATGACAGCAGCAGTAGCAGCAGTAACAGTAGCAGTAGCAGCAAGAGCAGCAGTAGCAGTAGCAGCTGCATAGCATATTTACTAAGACCAAATATGCGCAAATGATAAAGGGGCAGCAGCAGCAGCAACAATAATTGCGACAGTAGGAAAGCCGCCTTCCTTCCATCAGGGGCCGGGGCCGGGGCCAGGGGGAAAGAGCGAAACAGCACACATGCACACAACCCCCCTGGCTAGCAGCCGCCCCCCGCTGGAAGCCGTTCTGTTGTAGCCGTACACCTGGCAAGGTGGGCTGCGGTGTCCCAGTCGTCCGAAAAACTCTCAACGGAGAATTTACTAACTCGGCCATTATACTTGGCACCAGTACGACAACGACCATTAGCATCATATGTCGTACCACCGGGGAGGCGACATCTGATCGTCAAACCGGCCGCCCTTGTCGACTGTGTCCCTGGCGCGAAAGTCCCCCTTGCTTTTCCTCTTACCCGTCACGATCAGGGTGGTTCCAAGATCCAGATCCACCTTTTGGACGAGCGCGATCTGGGTTGGTTTTCGTGCGTGGGAGGGAAAACGGGGTGAGGGGGGTCCCCGAGGCCCCAGGGTAATTGTCCTAGGTGGGGAGGTGGGGAGGGGGCTGGGGATGATACGGCTGGGGTGAGGCATTGGGGATGTGGGGGCTTAACTTTGAGGGGGAGGGATACTTGGGGAGGGATTTGTATCTGTTGCTGGAACTGTGTTCGTCCAGTTGGATTTCCCCGTGTTTGAGCGTCAACGGCCTCACAGATGCCTCACTGCGTTAGTGCTTTAGGTATAACAGTGCAGTACAGTGCAGTACAGTACATGTGCTTCGCCCGTGGTGAGTCATATGATGTAATGTTGCTTGGCAAAGGGACTGGGAGAAGGGTGGAGCGCGAGGGGCTGCACGCTGATGCATTTCGGGATAATGCGGTGTCACAGGTTGTTAGCGGGTCCATGGCACATCTCCATGGCACGGTCGTCCTTTTTCCCCTTCGCCCCGAAGCTTTTATTTAAACATGCCTTGTAGGATTTAGGATCAATCAGGCTTACAAGTAGAGGGAGGAAGGTGCCCAGGTCACCCAGAGAGCCGCTCACTTCCGCCCAGGTGAGCTGCTCATACGTCATGGCAAACCAGGACTTTAACATAGCCATTTCCGTGTTTCACATAGGTTTTTACTGCGCCAGTAATACCTAAGAAAGTTGCCAACCGCGCAGTCCTAACGGAACAGTTGGAATACTATTTTCGGCTTGGTTGACCACGCAAGAAATATAAATACGTTGATCAATAAATTTCTTCGCAGCAAAAATGACCAGGCTGTATGCAAGACATTTTCCCGGATGGCTAGAGTGACCCCTGTCGCAAAGGGCCACGCCGTGCAAGCGACTATTATTTGGTGAAGAAGTTCTCTACAGCACTTTGTACTTATCATAAGCTTATGTAATTTGAAATCCTTCAGTGCAAAAAGCCCTGCATGTTGTAATTGCAAAGTTAGAAAATGCTGACAGTTGGTTCTCAATCCTATGCAGCGATTACCTCCAGCCTTCATCATAATAGAAGTGCCCACGCGTACCCGGCCATGCGTGGTGGGCTTCTGCCGCGCTGATGTCGCTACCGATGCGGAACGTCCCAGCACCAGCTACGCCATCCCGGTTCCGCGATGGGGGAGCCATCACCGACCCACAACGGAGCGCTATGCCGCTGCATCGGCGCTCCCCTCAGCCAAGACACACCTGAACCCGCATCCGTCTCAGACATCGGTCGTTGATGGCAAGGTGCGCATACCCGTGCCACACTGCGCAATAACGTATCTTCACAACAATTATGATAGCAGCATCCGGAACGCTGTTGGTCAGTTTCTGGTCTACCGTTTCTGACACCGCCGCTGTAACTTTCGTCTAAACATGTCCTAGGGAGACACACACACACACACACACACACACACACACACACACACAGAGAACAAGTACACAACGGTGCTGCCACGGCCATCCCAAACGCCGACTCACCAAAATGGTTCATTTTGCTCCATGCCGTACAACCCTTACTGCTCTTCAGGCAGTTGGCAAGAGGGGATACGATGGGTTCATTTTGTGGCTATCATGCGGGGGTTGGTTGCCCGCCGTGTCATGGCTGACAACGTGTGTGTAGTACTGTTAGTACTGTTTTCTCGTCGTCGGGTATCACTTGCCTCCGGGTCACTCAAATTATTGTTTCTGTCTTTGTTGCTTTGTGAGAAGGTAGACAAAACTAAAAACAGGACCGAACAAGGTCTGAGCAGGGCTGGTGGCGCAGTCGAGTATGCCCTGTACCCGTTGCTGGAAGGGGTCTTGTGCTGAGGCTTCATGCATTTATGTGCTGTAGGCCGACAGCATCCCACTGTGCCATCTTCCGCCACGTGTGCCAGCACCGGGCCGCGCTAAAAGTATTCCGAATCTGTAAGGTGCTGAGGGGGGTTACGCCCCCCTAAGAACCCCCCCGATGAGTTTTTGTTTTGTTCGTATAAACATAGAGTTTGGGGAATGTCGCAACACGCGCACACCACAATCTCTCCATAGAGGTATCTCTTGCACGCCAGGAAGCGGCACGCACTTGGACGCTGCACGGGTGACTGCTGTTGCAGAGCCCAAGCAAACACACACCAGTTAGACCCTACTCAAGCACTGATCAAATAGAGTTCGTTCACCGTCGTTCATTTTGCATCAAAGATAGCTGGGAGTCCGCAACCAAGGTAGTGCCACACAGCTAACCAGAAACGGTTCCCTGGAATGCGCAGCAGAGCCCTCTTACAAGCCGAAAGCGCAGAGAATGGAAGAAGCCCCGCTGCCGCCCCTCAAGCGCTGCTGATAAGGCACTCGTCTGCAAACAACATTCTAGGGTTCACCTATCTAGTATTAAATGGTACAGCAGCGGCGTTGGGAAGGCTACACGCCCGCCGTGTCGCTTCTGCAAAATCACGCGTGCGCCGGGTGGCATGTCCAGGATTCGTTGAAGTGAAGACACCTCCATGGTGCAAAGGAGATCCAGAGGTTTCCAAGTCGGGTGCAGTGCGTGCACTTAATGCGCAGATTTAGTACGTGTTGAAGTACCTTGTGTGCAAATAAATGTCGATGCTGTGTCACCGCCTGCGTTTTCACAGATGGAGTTGCGTGGTATCGACCTTGGGCTTTGAATTCTTAGCTCGGTAGCTCAGTACTTCAAGCTTTACAATTTGGGTAGCGGCACTCAGCATTTCAGTAACTACCGCTGGCCAGATGTGTAACCCGCCACCACCCAGTTCCCTTCTGGCCACCCGACCGAGCAAAATCAGCAATCAGGCCCAATTCTAATCCAGTATCGGCTCAGCCACGCAGCAGGTGCACAACATCTCTGTCGCTTCCTTCCACGCACACGATGTGTAGACGAATCGTGTGTAATACATCAATGTACGCCATACATGTCTTGAGCATGTATATAGTATGCTACATTTACCTCTGAATATATTTAGCTATGTAAGTTTAACCACAGGTGCGGCGCGGTATAGAAATTACGAGCCGCACTCGCTAATTCTGCGGATCGTAAACCAAATTTAACTAAATTACGGCTCCAGAAATGGAGGTAGCGGTAGGTGGGCCGCATATGACCTACCCAGGCGGGATGCTTTGGCCAGGCACTTAAGTATAGTACACCAGTGTTTGGGGACTAAGACCCTGCCGTCACCGTTCCTTTCTTATGCCTTCCAACTCCGGCTATCCATATCGATGTTCGCTTCTTCGGAATTCCACTTCACCGTCCCTTTTGGACGAAGTCCACCTCTCGTCCGGCTGCCTGCGCGGCTAAACGTCACCGCCCAAACGTCTAAAGTAAGACGGCTGCTACAGGACAGGACAGGTGTTTCTTCTGTTGCCGCTCCTGTTTCAACATTTGGTCTTGACCACTCCATTGCAGCACCCTGCGCGTCCACAAACGATGTCGAAAATCGGAAGATAGAAAGGGATCGTGGATATTATGGCTATTAGCAGTAATTGCAGTAATCCTGCACTCTGTACATGTAACGACGCAAGGCCCAACTGAGCATCCCGGGTTACGCCTTTGCTTTGTTACAATGGTATCGAGACGGGGCCGCACGACTTCCGATGAAATCTTCGGGTCGGTGGTTCGATTCTGACAACAAGCAGGTATCGCAGAAAGCGATATCATGGGTAATGGATAAACCAGCGCACAATGCGTGAGGTGGGATGGCTCCAATGCTCGATATAATGGCCGCGGACGTCCATTGCTAAAGGGGGGGCAATGTAACGACGCAAGGCCCAACTGAGCATCCCGGGTTACGCCTTTGCTTTGTTACAGTACAGGACAGCATCAATACATCTATCTTGTCGGTAACGTACGAACATGGAACTAAGGAGATCAAGATACATAATTTCATACACAAATACGTACAGGCTTCAGACGTTAGGTAATATATTAAGGTGGGACATTGTGTCAATGAAAGATTCCGGGATTAATTGGATCAAAGAGTGGAGTAAAATTTCACGGCCGTAAGAGGGTGATGGATCCGGTTATAGTGTCCTGCGGGTCGAGCGCGAGTGAGGCTGACGCCGCCGGTGATCCGGCAGATTTCACAGGATGCTAACGATGGGTGTCGAACTCAAAAAGTTACCGACTTCACAGAAGTAGGCATGGGTGAGAAGGATGAGTGTGCCGCGGAACATCGGTAGGCGAAAACTACCAGACTGTACTGGCTACGGGTGAAACTGAACCCCCCTTCTTCACACATATCAGAGATTCAGCTGTTCATGAATGTGCGGCGCGCGGTAAATAGCTGCCGCCAAACACCCATCCGCGTGTGCAAGCAGCTTGGCATGTTGCATTTGCATCATCAACACTCCGTATTGCTTGCCTCTGCGCAAGGGACCTAGGTACGCCAGCAGTATAGATGTCATGTTCTAAGACGTGTTATTAGTTCCTTCCTTCCAGCCTTGGAAAGTAGCGTGCTAAACCACGCACTGAGCGCGCATGCGCACATACATAGGTAGAAACTCACGATTCTACCGTGAAGCACATCGTTACTTGCACATCGTTGTTACTTGCTGCCGGCAGGTTATTATCGATGCAACTCAGCTCAGCTCAGCTCAGCTCAGTTTATCCAATGGGTCACTTTGCATGTGCGATGTGTGTACATACGCGAAGAAAAACAGTCAGGAAACGTAATGAACTAAGAGCACTTGTTTAACGGCAATAATGCCCGAGCAAGGAAAGGGCTTTTCCTCGGGGCAACACATCATCAACGCCTGAGTAGGTGTTATATCACGACTTCAGAAAAGTACCAATGGGCGGATGCAAATCCCGTAATATGCACAAATTACTACGATCCTGAAGTCGTCGGTTGACCCCCCACCGATCCCGTTCGGGTGGAACATCAGGTGTGGCGACTCAGCTTGCGAATATTGCATACATAAAACAAAATTTAAAAGTAGCTGAACCGACTGGACTGTCTATGTGCCTGAAAAATCTGAAGACGGCTAGGCGCATGTAAGCTGGCACATGACGTGACGTGGAGTTGCTGCCCACTGCCCGAGGGTAGGCGAAGGTAGGCACAGGCTCGTGGTATACGAGGCTCTAAGGGCCCGAGACGGTTCCCTTCAAAGGGGGGGGAATGTAGCAGCCGGTACACAGTACGTCTATATAAGTACGCGCAGAGCGTGACCGCCAGCATCTCGAGAGGCCTTTTCAGCGGCCAGCTGCTACACCCTTATCAACACGTGTGCTAGAGAAACGTTCGGCGTTGCATGGGGGATGGAAAAGTCTGTGAAGCGTGACTGGTGGAATGAGGACTGTGCAGCTGGTGGAATGATATGATGAGTTTCCGTAAGGAGGTCAGGGACCCCGTCTCGGGCAAGCTGCCCAATCATCATAGGGCTACCTGGAAGGCCAAGCACCCTGCCTTTAAGAACGCTAGGAAGGCCGCTATTCAGGAGACTGAAATGGAAGATATGCGGAGGAGGATTAAGGATGCCCAGTCCAATCCATGCGGCTTGTGGACATGGCTGCGTGGGGGAAAACCACCTCCTTGCGGGATCTCAGAAATTAATGCTTTTACCGAGCATTTTTCCAAGGTGCTTAATGGTACGGGAGAGACGAGGCAATGCCGCAATGAGGGTATTCA